ATATCTTTTTTTATCTATATCTTGTTCTTATCTATCTTTCTTTTATAATTCAAGTAAGGTTTCCTAAAACTGGCTGCCCAATGCCAAATAAAGTTTTAAACTATTAATGTGGGAATCGAACCCACGTCTTCGGCATTCGCGGCTTGACGCTTTAGCCACTAAGCTAAACGGCTGATTGCAACACCGACGAAAATCTTAACGGCTTTTATCTACATTGTTATTTAGCATTTTAAGCAATTAATAATTTTTTATATCAAGCATCTATTGTTATATCCTTTCCAGCATACAAACAATTTCGAATATCGTTTTACAACGATAACTTCGAACGAGAGACGTCGCCATTGCTTTCTCATTCTCTTGTGGGTTCGATTCCCAAAGCGGCGACAATCTTTTCGTACTTTTTCTACAAGTTTTAATGTTTATTCTTAAGATTAGCACTAAAAAACTTTAATTTTTAAATTATTTTTGCATATGGAACGTATTGTGAATGTTAGTTGCGCATCCAACTGACGAATACACATTTCAAATATGCACTATATTATATTCTGTACTTTAATCATCATCAAGCGTAGAACGTGCAAACAAACGGTTCGTCTATTTACATTGACCAATATTTACATTTCAACGTTTGTTCAGTACCGTTTCTGGTATTCGATTGTGTTTAATGTCGAATATAGCTCCGTTTTGTGACCATTTTAGAAAACACGATTTTACAAGAATCCAAATTGTAATAAACTGTACCTCGTTGTAATGTTAATTGTTACATGCAATACTACGTAATAATTTAATAAATGACAATCTTTATTGATCTAATATTTACAAGATTAAATCTATCTAAAATTACATATTATCTAATAAACCTAATCCACGCGGCATGGTGCCAAGAACGCTAGCTGCATTTCCTCGCTGAATAGTTATGCTTAACCTTTGCGCGAGAAAAGAACCAGCTCTCTTGTCACCAGCCGCGGCGTTAAGCCTAGGACATAAACTTTTAAAAAAATTTGATGTGCGGGGACCCCACGGACCTAATGTTTCAACAGCAAATGGCACAAATACATAATCTGAACATAAAGACTCATATTTGCGCCATTTACTTACTTCAGCTGCCCCCGATGCCGCCCCGGCCCTGACTATAAATTAAAAATAAATTACATTATAATATAGAGCCGTGATAGCTTAGTGTCCGGGTGCTCGCCTTTAATTCAATATACTCGAGCAACCTGAGTTCGATCCCCGGCATTCGATGCCGGCACCAATGAAGGTTTTAACTTAAAGTGCTGACTTATCACGTGCTCCGCGGTGAAGGAAAACATCGTGAGGAAACCTGCATAATTTCGAAATAATAACAAAAAAAAATATTTTTCGAAGATATGTGAAGTCCGCCAATCCGCAGTGGGGCCGCGGGGTGGACTATGCCCTGATACCCTGTATAGGGGCCTTTGCCCAGCAGTGGGATATGTATAGGCTGTTACTTTACTTTACTACTTTACTTTGATTTCACTGATGCAGGAATAAGCAGTCTCGTCTGTGGGAGTACCACGACCGTATAGAAGCCCGGCGTCAAGTAGAAGTATTATACTTCATCCTCCATTTCGTCTAGTGAGTGAGGTTCCACGGCTAAGTTTTTAAAAGGTTAACTGCAACCCCACGAATGTTGCTGGTGTACATAGGCGGCGGTTATCACTTAACATCAGGTAAACCGCCAGCAAGTTTGTTCACATAAAAAAAATCAAGGGTTGTAAGGCAGACGTAGAACTGCCCTTGTCTTTGTCTCCACTCTTTCCCAGTCCGTGTAAAACAGATCCCGGTCGGAAAAACTGGCAGATTATTCTTCGGCCCCACATAAACACCTAATGCCACCTGATTATTGTGATGAAAATAGCGCTAGTTCGAGTTAAAACTACAGATATTTGCACGTAGTAATGGCCGTACCGACGGTGATTATCTTGAAAAAATGCTAGAAAACGAACGAGTAATTGATACCACGTTTATGTATAGAGACATGGCCGATAACTATTAAGATAATGAGCCATTCGCGGAGTGAAAAGTGAAAGAATAAGTGCCCCGGTGTTCATCCGAATGAAACATTCACGTGATCATACACGTCGATAGGTTTGTCTAGTTTTCAAAGCCATGTTGATATACAATTCAACGATTGATGAAATAGATAGAGGCTAATAACCAGACAATCAACCAGATGTTAATAGCTACCACCCGTGGACTTTCGCGGCACCCTTTGGTTGCATATGCGTTTTCAACCTTTAAAACGTCGGGTCCCGGTTACAAAACTCACCGGGCCAATAGATTCTCGGTCAAATTATGGTACCATTACTTATCCCGAACGACTCGCCCCATGCATGCTATCTAACTAAGCTTTTATTTAGCTCTGCCGAAGTAACGAAAATGACAACGAAATGACCACAGTAAAAGCATGAATTTGTCACTTAATAATAATAATAATATTGTAAGCATAACTCGACCCGTTATTACTTATTTACTAGTTTCGGCGCCGAGGGTCGAACACGGGACTAGCATTTGTATCAATCACAAATAACTGTTTCGGGAGTGGGTGTTAATTCCCAAGTAGGTTTTAAATCAACCCTTTCATAATTTTATGTATTTCTACTAGAAAATGCTTTTATTCTGCCTTCTCACATTTTCATATAGCAAAGAAAGCGATCAGATATCAGTCTATCTAACTGTCACTGCTATTAAAGGGACTGAAAAGAAAACAACAGAAACTAATCAGGAACAAAAGTCGTTATGTTATCTTTGTTTAATGATTAATGTTTTAATTAATTCGTTCATATTTAGCTATTATATTCTAACATTGATTTTCTATCTATCTATATATAAGGAGTATAAAGAATATTATATATATATATATATATATATATATATATATATATATATATATATATATATATATATATATATATATATATATATAAAGGAAATGATGCGCAGACACTTAATACAGCGGCGTAAAGTAAATTGTGCGTTATTGTACTTGCTTATAATTCTACATGAACCACACATATTTGACACTTTATGCATTCCTTAAATACAAATACCTTTCCGATTTATTTTTCGGAAAATCGTTTAGAAAGAAGAGCCGTATTGTTTTCATAACAATTTCATATCTAATCTAACTTCTTAACCATTTCATGCATATACAATTTAGAAAATATCTAATCTTATGATCTTTAGACACAAATTCAAACTTATTCTTGTAAAAGCCGTTCATTTTGATATTTAATTGTGATTAAGTTTTCGTTCAATAAAAAATTAAAACAATAAATATACGTTATAACAAAGACAAAATTTTTTTTAATCAATTTTATCAATTTTTTTTTATCTGAAGTACCATATTATGCGTAATACGGATTCTAAGCCGATAATTGAGTGTTAAACGAAGTAAAACTGTTAAAAGACAATACCCCAGACACCAGAATGCTTCTTTTTATGTAAAAACACAACGATATCGGATTCGTATATATTATGAGCTTCCTTCCTCTTTTGTTTTGGTTAACAGGAAATTGTTATCTACTTCAAATATGCGTGTATAATAATAATAGTACAAACACGTTGATGATGCGTAAAACGGACTTGTAAATTACACAACAAATGAATCAAAAAGTGTAACTGACAGGGCCAAACTAAACACCTTGCCTAATTTATTTAGTTCATAAACAAAAAGAATAATTTGTTAATAATTAATTCTGTTTTTTATCCTATTTATTCTTAATCTCTACGCTTAAAATTAAACTTAAAAAGGTTAGATATTTTTATTTTTTTATTTTTAAAAAATTTTCGACAATTTATCGCTGTTTGTAGGTGCCAGAATTAGAACCTGCAGGTAACACGCCCCGACGGTCTAACTAATTATTAATTAATAAATCATTGATAACGAACCGTCGTCGTGAAAGCTTTCGCTTCTTCGCAAGTTTACTAAATCAGCATATGACCGCGAGTTTACTCGCTTGGTTTGACATAAAATAGTAAATTGAAAGATATTTACGAAAACGTAACCTTACCTACATAGCGTGAATCTAGCTTACAACCTTAGATAGGTTGTGAGCAAGGTTTAAATTTTATTCAAATCCTTTCAGCCGATATGGCTTGAAAAACGTATAATAAGATTAAAACACATCAGCATATAACCGTAAAATTAAATTTCATTAAAATTCTTACAATTAATAAAAAATTTACTGATGTTATTAGTTCGATTACAATTTTTAAGGAAATGCGTCTTATTGTATCCTACAAGACAAGATGTTTTACAAATCATTTTTTTTTATTAACGAAAAACAAAAACGACTTCAAATATCTCGTTCTGTATTCATTTTATGATTGATTTCCAGGAGCTCCCTACGATCTCCGGAGCCTAAGATCCAATACCAATGAAATTTATATGGGACCACATGGGGAGCACCAGCTTTCAAATAAAAAAACGGATCGTCAAATTCGGTTCAATCAGTCGAAAGTTCTGAGGTAACAAATATAAAGAAAAACAGTCGAAACCTCCTCCGTTTTTGAAATCGGTTGAAAATTTTGGTACTTAGTATGTTTAAGGTATATTGAATGAGGCATTCATAATGTGAACACTAAACACTGTCTTATTCAAATGACATAAATATGTAAACGAATACACCGATTTAGAATTATATTAATGTTATTATTAAAGTGGATGAGTTTTTTTTTGGTTTTTGTCTCCTGTAATATCAATATGAAAACATCGTTTATAGTAGGAAATTATTTAAAATAAATAACAACGAATTAGTGATTGCGCTACAATTTAATTATAATATTATGATTTCATTAGTAGGATTTCATTTTAATAAAAATTATTGTTATAACAACATATAGAACCAGCAAAAGCCCGTTTTATTTAGTAATAAACATAATCACAGACGACAGAATTACACAATGTTATCAAACAATTACACTCTTGGGTTTTCAAGTTTTAACAAAGTCAATAACAAGAAAAGCAAACTTACGTCCTAATACATTTCCTTTGGGCGGCACGTCCATAGTAGCTTCTCTTGTATGCAACAACGAGCAAGTATTTACTTTTAATTCAATATATTTAAATTTACTCTGAAGAAGAACACACGTTTGATGTTAACGGAACGTCCCTCGCGTCTGTTAGTCACTTATGAGAAACTCTTACTCAGTAAACGTTATTTCAGAACGCACGCTACCGAAACATGTCGCAATCTTAAAGTTTCTTCGCCTTCTGATGATTTTACTATATATAGCTACTGCGGTCTTCTAGAGTACGTGATAAAAGCCATGCACCGAAATGCTTTTGACGTCCTTCGTCCCGATTGCCCCGTTTGAGCTTTCGCGGTCTTCCAAGGTGACCTTCAAAGTTTAGGATCGATGACGTCCAAAATTAATTCGAAAACTGTCATGATAAAATTGTGTGTAAAAATGGTGCAAATGTCTAAAAATCCTATATAGTACTGGGAAAACAATAATTTTATGGCGGTTTCTTAAAATTCGTGTTAATAAGTAAATAGCGGTGTTTTTTTAATTGTGTAACCGAGACATCTTGTGATTTAAAGGTATACAGCTTCTAGTACAAAATACGATAAGTGCATTTTGTTTTTAATTTTCCTCTATAGATGTCGCTGTCGTAAAAATATACTATCAAAGCGTTGAACTGTAAAACGTACCGACTACCGCTCCAATGTAACTATGAGTAAGACCTAAAAGGTCAATTTTGCGTAATATATTAAATGTTCTAACAATTTTTAGCACATTCTTAAAGAAAAAGTTAATGGTACAGTAGCACTTCCCTTACATTGAGATCTAACAAACTAGCTAGTCTATGGTTAAAGTTCCTTAAATCCTCATTCCATTCATTCATTTCGTATCGTATGTGTAGGTATCGTATATCGCACGTCAACGTCATCGTATTTCCAATCCCATTCAGGCATTCATGCACGTCATTAAACTTAAACTAGTCACTAGCTCACTCACAGATATACAAAAGTACTCTTTGCTCACTCACTAGTGTCATTAATTTTTAAGACAAGTGGTCGTCGGAGTAAATAGAAATAATGAGAATGAGATAAAAGAGATGTACGTTTTTTCATGACTGAGATGTATTTAAAATCGTAATTTTGTTTGTGTTGTGCATATGTCGAGCTCATTCACTCGCTGGTTACCGGTAATACCGCACAGTCGTCAGCCTAAACTCATCAAAGAAGAGCAAAAAAAGGAAAAGTCAACAAACGGAGGTGAAAGTTTGTCGAAACTAAAATGTTGCGTGCTAAATTGTGAATAAATGTCCAGTGGTGTTGCATATAAATAAGATGAATTAATTCACTATTAGAACTGGAATTTTACCATTGTTTATAACACTTTTTATTATTAAATTATCTCTGCAAATAAAGACGTCCAAAATCAGAGACTGTGGCTTGAAAAATCTTGTTTAAAAGACGGTAATAACTTGAAATTTATTCAAATGGCTTTAAAAATGGAACCAAAGAATGACCTCGATTTTATCTTGAGGAATTTGTTGGCTGGAGGTATGTACACTTTTATTTTTCTCATTTGTTTCTAATTAAAACTCTATTTTTGTTTTATTTTCAATTTAAAATTTTTATGTTGCAAATGAAATAAAATATAATTATTTGAACTCGTTCACATATCACTTTCCATAAAAATTTATTGCTCAAAATTTTCGATTGCTTTAAGGTGTAGCTGGAATGTGTGCAAAAACTGCAGTGGCCCCACTGGACAGGATAAAGATTCTCCTACAAGCCCAGTCTGTACATTATAAACACCTTGGAGTATTTGGTGGTTTAACAGCAATTGTCCGTCAAGAGTCCCTTTTTGCCCTATACAAGGGAAATGGGGCACAAATGGTTCGGATATTTCCCTATGCGGCTACACAGTTCACAAGCTTCGAAATTTACAAAAAGGTATTTATCATGTTCTTATTTACAGCACATTGAATGTCCTACATTGAGGTCACTGCTTTAATAGTTCTATTAATCAAATTATCAAACAATATAATAGAGAGGGCAACTAAATGTTCTTTTGTTGTTTATGAATTATGGTGGTGGGTTTGGTTGAGTTGGATTGATTTGTCTTGGAGAATTATTTGCACGACCTACAAATGTTTACAGTATGACAAATGGTAATAAAAAAAAATTTATCAATATTGTTTACATATTGTAAAATTAAAGGAATGACTAGTAATCAAACTAAAAGGCTGTTACAATTTTGAATGCTTTGTGTCATTAATTATTTGTGTGAGTGTCCACTATAGCTTACTTTAGCATTCCAGTGTTAAAATTGGAATGACTGTGAGAGCACAGAAATGAGTACTAATATTTATGTATTTTGCCCTATAGAGATTTTACTCACAAACCTTTTTGTTATATCCATACTAATATTATAAATGCGAAAGTAACTCTGTCTGTCTGTCTCGCTTTCATGCCAAAACTACTGAACCGATTTAAATGAATTTTGGTACACAGATAGTCTAGAGCCTGAGAAAGGACATAGGCTAGAAGAAGAGAAAGAAAGATATTTATTTAAGGGCTTCAACGAGAGCGAAGCCGCGGGCGAAAAGCTAGTCTTAATATAAATGCTAATCTTTCAATGAAGATCTCTACAAAGAATAGCGTTAGCACACATTTAGATCTAAACTTTAGAAGACCCAGCGAAAAATAAAGAAAAGAACATGTTACTTTTTACATGTGTGTTATATGATAGTCTCTGCCTGAAATCGTAAGGAATCATCGGAATATCCTGCAGATAATGTAAGAAAATAAAACAAATAGGACACGTAGATTTTTATATATGTATCTTATTCTTTCGGAAAACGCGGATTCGTTTTCCGCAGCGGCGTAAAACTTTTCGAACTTCTTACAAATTTTAATGTTTCATCTTAGATGCAGAGATTAGCACTATAAAAATTAAAAATTTGTGCCGTTTTTTAACCCTAGCAGGCCATAGTTTGATTTCTATCCCGATATTATAGCCACTGATCGTTCACACACGATCTCGATAAAAAAGAAAAGAAAGTTACATTTTCCTAACATTTATGGTTGAAATTTCAACGAGTCGACGGTTCCACTTCGACCGGCTCAAAAAGGAAGATTGTAGGATGTAGTTAAAGTAGAGCGTGTTCGACCTCTGTTAGCCGCGAGTTCCTGAATTGATTTATTCACGCGAGTCTCCATTCGTATCTTTTTCTTTTGTCGTTTTGATGCCCTTGCCAGTTGGAAATTTGAATATTGACAAATGACAATGAAGCGGCCAATGTGATCTGGTTGAAAGCATAATAAAATTTAACGACGCGTTCAAGGTTTGACTTAACATTATCATACGTGTGTAGTTATATTGAGACGAGGGGTTACTTGGATTAAATGTATTATTTATTTATTTGCACACTTTTTTGTACTAACTAGTACAAACGGCGGGCTTAATGCCATAAGGCATTTTCTACCAGACAACCGGAAAGTTAGTGAGAGAGAAGTCCATCTAGAACTTGGCGAGATGCAATCAACTCTAATACAATTATATTAACAGCATTATATATATTAAACTTCCAAAACTCTATTAGGTAAGCCTGTAAATTATGATGTTCATGAATAGTTTACCTGAAATATACAAGAGTAAAATGAATTCATTCTTCTATGAGAAACTTTTCGAGAAAACTTCTTTTAAAAAAAAAAACACAATTCAAAGGAGGCTGACAATGATTATAACTTTCTTACATTATTAGAAATATGTATACGGTTGAAAAGTCATCTACAGCAATAAGTAGCAAAGTGAAAATGGTAATTTTAAACGAGCATCTGCTAAATTTATTATCGCATTATATAAATATAGGTAAGGAAGAACAGTAACCTTGAATGAAAGACTGCAAGTCTTGCGCGGGGTCGGGCTTGACGCATTCATTGCTCAGATGTGTATATAATACGTTATTTATACCCGATTAAGATTCCGCTTTTAGATATAAATTAAATCCCAACCGTTAAAGTTAAGTCAAATAGTTTTTTCACCATTAATTCCTATATAACATCTAAAGTAACAGGATTGCTGATATTTTTTTGCCGTGATAGAGCAACACAGTTAATACCTTCTGCTGCTGTTGATTTGCATAAAATGTTCGGATACAGGAAAGTCGAAGAATGCCGACTTAGAGTAGGAAAAAATCATAAAATCAAAAAAATATATAAATATAATACTTTTTCATTGCGTCTGGTGAGTGAGATAACCCGGTCCTAAAGTATATATATATTTATATATTTTATTTTTTTTAAACGTTGCCCTTTAGGATAACATAATCCTGTGTTGTAAGGACGTTTTTACAAACATATATTTCACGCGGACAAACACCCAGATTCGAAACAACTATCTGCGGGTCACACAAATAGTTGTACGTGTGGGGATCGTGTGGGGATCGAACCCACGACCCCCGACGCCGAAGCCAATAGTTTGGCAACTGCGCCACGGAGTCAAAGTACATGGGCTAACAGCAGCATGTCGGTTGCCTTTTCATATAAAAAGAATCGGACAGGACAGTACGAAAAGAACTAATGATAATTTCTTATTATAGTTATAAGAAACATTAACTCGTGCATTTTAGTATATTCGATAACTTCATCGCATCGTAAAAATTTTACTCTCATATTTTTTTCAAAACGCGCCAAAAGCAGTATAACTTCAATAATGAATCAATGTTCAGCGCCTCAATTTTGTATTTAACCGCAATAACATGTCAAACGTAACTGTTAACCAATTCAATAGCAACTTTAATGATATTCAATGATAAACTAACGCCTTAACTCTTGGCTGCGGTTTATTTTTAAGTGCAGTGTAATTCTATAAATATTTTCTGGTTTTAAATGGATTGTAATTAAAATTCACTTTGTTGCATCTAACGATTATAATTTTGTGTGCATTATGAAACATTGTTATCATTAAAAATCATCACGTCTATAAATATAACGGTACAGAAAAATTCGAGGTCATATTCGATTATTTTTATGTTTATTTACGTATTCTTTATTGTACACAAAAAATCACAGTTACTGCAAGTAAATACAAGCTTACAAGACATAAATAGAATGGCAAATGCGAACTTAACCCTAAACAGAGTTCTCTACCAGCAAACCTTTAATTTTATCAATATTAGATGAATAAACATAGGAAAATAGGTAGGTACGAAAATTAACTTACCGACTAAATTAAATACTTAAAAACTTCTAAAATACAGGTAACCAATATCTGTTAATAAAAAAAACGTCAAGCGAAGTACCTACTGGTAGTTTATTTTATTTTAGCTCTAGTTTCTCTTTTACTTTTTAAACAATGATGATATTACAAGAATTACAAGCGCGGGCTTATAATTGAGGTAATTTGTTCACTTTGTAGGGCATAAACAATAGTCAATTGATCTAGGAAAAACAAAGTTATTCAGAACAAAAACGAGAGCATTAATTTATATGTAATATTAAAGTAATAAAATGATTTAAAAAATGAAGTAATGAGAATCAAACTGAAAGAGGTATATTCCATGTAGGTACCGCACGTCTTTTCAAATGTAACAATATCATGTTGGAATATTAGTAATAATAAAAGTATAAGTTGACGCTCTCATATCTATAAAGGTTCTTGAGCCTTACGAGTTATCCTATCAAATCCATTACACATTATAAATTGTTTTCTTGCTATCAGACTCTTAGAGCTAAAAGAGAAAACACATATGACCATAAATGGTCAAAGGTTAAAGTTAATTAAACTGTCTGAACAAAGCTCACGTCATCTGTTCGCACGACGAACTTTATATGTCATGCTACATGGCTATATTTAAGAAAAACGATGTAGGAAACAAGAAATGTCATCGAGAGAAGATTATATTTGCCTCAACCCCAATATGAATTTTAGTATATTTTTTCCTGGTTCTTACAGCTTCAACACTTTATACAAAGTTCAAGTACTTGTCAAACTGATAAAGCATTATTCATAAAAGTTCAATTTCTGCTGCTTTAATAAAAACCAGTAGCATTGACTTAAGTCATTATAATGGTGTGACGATTTATAAAGCAACAGCCCATACATGTATATCTAAAAATGGGTGCGACGATAAAAGTGCTAAAACATATTTGCTGTCGAGGTGCGGAAGCAATTTATCGGCAAAACTCTTTTTGCAACTCACGGTTCTGTAACCAGAGGTGGTACAAAGTAAAATTTCTTTATAATAAGTTTCATATCCTCCAAAACAAGCCCAGATATAGTTCGAATAGTGTTATTGCTTAAAATAAACGTGTATTTCAAAAGTCGACTTCAAACAAATTAACATCTAGTTAAATTAATATTCTTTTTTTATTTTAATTTATCTGTTTCTTTTTCTGTTTGTAATTGAGGAAATAATATGAGTTGCACACTATTAATCTACGGGCAAGGTAAAAAGAGACGACCGTTGTCTTTATGTTGTTAAATTACTTCTGATATGTTGCGTCGTAGCCAACATACAATGGACTGCTGATACAAATGATTGACAACAATATATACTTAGTTGTATGTAGACTATACAATTCTATAAAATTCGATTAGTCTTTGTTGTTATAGCGGCAACAGAAATACATCTGTGAAAATGTCAACTGTCTAACTATGACGGTTCATGAGTTACAGCCTGTTGACAGACGGACAGACTGATAGACAGCGAAATCTTAGTAATAGGGTCCCGTTTTACCCTTTGGCTACGGAACCCTATATTAGCAATATATAATAATATAAGCCCAATAGCGCTTGTTTGTAGACTGTATATGACGGTGACGTGTGAATTGGTTACCAATTAATGACTGAATTATGGGGCCTCCTTGAGGGAGCGGTCAAGTGGCACTCTTCCGTCAGTGGCACGACCTTGTTTCCCTGTCTTGTTGTTGCACGATACTAGAACTATCCAGAAGTTATATTACAATTCAAATATCTTTATTCAATATAGAAACATTACACTTACTTATTGATTGTCAAAAGTCTACAACCCCGCATACATACATAATTATAATAGACTGATAGCTTTTAATTGGTGAAAAAGTGTCACACACTTGATTTTAATCAAATAAAATAACTAATTCTAAGCTAATGAAAAATCAAGTTTTAATTAATAAGAGCTACTTAAAATATCCATTTTAGGGCAAAAACGTTCAACGTCATTAAACAAATGTTAACCTTTATAACTGTGGTAGGACCACGCAACAATCTTCGCTAGGAATGGTCAGTTCCATCCGGAAAAGTACCAAGACCGCGCAGAAGACCGGCGTAAAGTGGAAATTTTACACTTCCGCGTTTCATCTGGCCCGTGAGGTAGCCGTTGCCCACTTTTGTAAAAGGTGGTAACGCATCTCCAACCCTACGAATGTCACAAACTTACAAATGTCAATGGGTGGCGGTAATCACTTAAAATCAGGTGAGCCCCCAGCTCGCTTGCCGCGTTCACACAAAGAAAAAACAGGCCAAGTGCGAGTGGGACTCGCGCACGAAGGGTGAAAAGAAAATCATGTCTTTTGTATGGGAGCCCCACTTAAATATTTTTTTATTATGTTTTTTAGATTCACATCATCTGTGAAAATTTCAAATATTTAACTATCACTGTTCATGAGATACATCCTGGTGACAGACAGACACGGTGATAGGCGGTGGTAGGGCCACGCAACACTGTTGCACGAATGGGCAGGTCCGTACGGGTAAGTACCACGACCTCACAGAAGTAAGACCGGCGTAAAGTAGAAGTGTTACACTTCTGCGTTTCGTCTGGTGGGCCCCGGCTACCTCACTAGCCGGGGTCCACTTTATTTAAAGGTTACGCATCTGCAACCCTACGAGTGTTGCAAATGTCAATGGGCGGCGGTTATCACTTAACATCAGGTGAACCGCCAGGTCGTTCGCCACTCACTTACATAAAAAAGACGGCCAGCTAAGTCTCACTAATAGGGTCCCGTTGTACCCTTTGGCGCGGAACCCCAACAACCCCTACGACCCCTTCCAGTACCTGGGCGCGCTGAACATCCCGATGGTGCAGCACGGCGACAAGTTCGTGGCGGGCGCGGCGGCCGGCGTGACGGCCGTCACGCTCACTTACCCGCTGGACACGATCCGCGCCCGCCTCGCGTTCCAGGTGACGGGCGAGCACCGCTACAGCGGCATCGCGAACACCGCCGTCACGATGTTCCGCACGGTCAGTGGCGTCGAGCTGTTTCGCGGGTTAACTTTGTGATTTTTCCCGAAATACATCATCCTGCCCTTATCCCACCTAGGTGCGGTCGGCGAGATGTGTGAATGTTGTTGTAAGCGGTTTTGGCTGTGTTTTTACGACCTCCTCGAGAAACAAACACTCAATGTGTGAATGTTGTCGCAGTTTGTTCAACCTTGAGTTCAGACTAAATAATGAAAAATAAATTAATCAAATATGTTTAATAGTTGCACCCAATTGTGGCTTTGGCAGGAGGGCGGTATACGCGCTCTGTACCGCGGCTTCACCCCCACAATGGTGGGCATGATACCGTACGCCGGCCTGAGTTTCTACTGTTTCGAGTCCCTAAAGTACCTCTGCATGAAGTACCTGCCGACAACGCTATGCCGCAAATGTGACCGGAACACCGGTGAGCCTGTGCTAGAAAATTTACCATATTTCATCTTTATTTATTTCCTGAACAGACGGACATACATATCTATCATATACGTCCGGGGAAGTACCACAAAGTCACGGAAGACCGGCGTGAAATGGAAGGGAGATATTGCGTCGTCTCGTGTTTGAGAACGGGGCCTACTTCATTAAAAAGATAGTAACGCAAGCAATGTTCACGGGCGACGGTTATCGCTTGCCATATTCTTACATAAAAAAATATTAATGTAATCATCATTATCATCATCATTTCAGCCTGTTTGAGTCCACTGCTGAACATAGGCCTCCCCCATAGACTGCCACGAAGTACGATCCTGAGCCACCTGCATCCATCGACTTCCCGCACATTTGCACAGGTCGTCACTCCATCTAGTGGGGGCTCGTCCTACACTGCGATGGCCAGTACGAGGCTGCCACTCGAGAACCTTTCTTCCCCAACGGTTATCGGTTCTACGAGCTATATGGCCGGCCCATCGCCACTTCAGCTTGCTAATCCTCTGAGCTATGTCGGTCACCTTAGTTCTACTGCGGATGTCTTCGTTACGAACTCTATCACGCAGAGAAATACCGAGCATAACCCGCTCCATAGCTCGCTGAGCGACTTTGAGCTTCCTCATACGGCCAGCAGTGAAGGACCACGTCTCGGTTCCGTAGGTCATCACTGGCAACACACATTGATTGAAGACTGTAGTCTTCAAACATTGAGGTATATTTGACGAGAAGATTTGCCGTAGTTTCCCGAACGCTGCCCATCCGAGATGGATTCGCCGATTGACCTCTGCGTCGAAGTTGGACTTACCTAGCCGGACTAACTGTCCTAGGTAAATGTACTCGTCAACAACTTCGAGCTCAGTGCTCCCAACAACAATTAATGTAATAATTGTATTTAACGTCGTCTAACTACCTTCCAAACACTTAGCTTGATAGTTAATTTATGTACAACGTATTTAATTTTTATCTGACGGTTTATAGCTGTAATAAGTTACTGTGCCAGAAAGCGGAATATAACAGCTTGTTACACTAGTATTTGTATGACGCGATTTTACATTGATTTGTGTAAGATTAGGCCCCACATTTTAGCCACTTTGACATGTTGAGAGAACAGTGATGGCGCAAATGAATGAAAGGTTCATAACATTCACACCGCGGCCTAATATACGTTGTCGTTATCCATATTAATATTATAAATGCGAAAGTAACTGTCTGTCTGTCTCGCTTTCACGCCAAAACTACTGAACCTATTTAAATGAAGTTTGGTACACAGATAGTCTAGAGCCTGAGAAAGGACATAGGCTATTTTTGAATTGGACATTTTTAAAGGAAGATATTTATTTAAGGGCTTTAACGCGAGCGAAGCCGCGGGCGAAAAGCTAGTTACAAATAAAGACAAGTTTCGGTACGATTAAACCGGTTATTAGATATGTCTCAAGCAATAACGTCACAGTATTAAGAGTAAAGGTTTCGTGGTATTTCTCTCAATACCCAAAAAGAAATGCAATCTGAATTCAGATTTACTTTTCATCGTGTAAAAATTACAAATTCAAAAAGAACCACTTGAGCGGGGAAAGAAGCGTTTGATAATTTTTCGTTGCTTTTCAAAGGCGGCTTGGTGCTGACTGTACCGAGTAAAGTAGTGTTCGGTTGTTTGATAGTAATTTTCCTTCGTGTTTCGAAGGCGGCTTGGTGCTGACTGTACCGAGTAAAGTAGTGTTCGGTACTTTAATAGTAATTTTCCTTCGTGTTTCGAAGGCGGCTTGGTGCTGACTGTACCGAGTAAAGTAGTGTTCGGTACTTTAATAGTAATTTTCCTTCCTGTTTCGAAGGCGGCTTGGTGCTGACTGTACCGAGTAAAGTAGTGTTCGGTACTTTAATAGTAATTTTCCTTCGTGTTTCGAAGGCGGCTTGGTGCTGACTGTACCGGGGAAGCTGGTGTGCGGCGGCTTGGCCGGCGCCGCTGCCCAGTCGGTCTCGTATCCCCTCGACGTCACGCGGCGGCGGATGCAGCTCGCCTGCATGGACCCCGACACTTCCAAGTTCGGGTGAGATAAGGAGCGAGAGCGAGAGATGTTGCATATGTGCGAGCGAGACGGCTGGATGTAAACCAGTGCCGCCTTAAACAAACAGGCGGCAACTGGGGAAAGCATCGGTGATTTTTCTTTGGGTCACGCTTAAATTGTTATATTTTTTTGGAACTTAATTTCTTTACTAACCCCTAGTTCTAGTTAATTTATTTTAGTGTAGTTAGGTGTGGGAGTTAGTAGTTTTCTAGGCTGCATGGATTGTCCGCTTTATCTTTATAGTAATGAAAGGTACCTACGTAGAAAGGTACCTTTTAAATCATTCCTTTCAATTATTTCATTAATGTTTATAATCGAAATCCGTGTAATGTATGAAGCAGAAATAAAGAACTATGATAACTGTTATGACAGTATTATCATGTCAATCTATATTTTACTAACCGTATTTAACTATACAGGGTGCCTTTTCTAAAGGTGCCCAAATTCACACAGGAAGTTCAGACTCGGTAGTATAATCGTTAATTGAAATAAAAACAAACTTTCTTTTTTTTTAATTGCCATTCTATTCCCTCAGACTACCTAAACAGAACTTGTTGAAGATGCGGTAGTCATAAATGCGGCATAGACTTTTGAAACGAACTTGTGTGCGTGTTAATTATGAATAATCGTGCGTAAAATAAACGAGTTGCCCATAAATCATGCACATTTTGAGAAAACTTCAAATGAATGTAATTAATTAATTATGAGTGATTTTAAATATAATTTAAGAAAAATAAATGGATAAACTTAGAAAAGCCTCCCTGTATATATGCAGCGTGTCGTTACAACCGCGACAATAAATGAACATACGTCTAACGCTACTTGCCAATAATCATAAAAAAATATAAACGTTAAAAAATCCATAATTGAAAAAAAAAATATTTTTCAAACTAAATAAATAAAAAAGAAACAAAATTTGTAATATCCTATTCAACTACAACTGACTGATTCATAAATTCAGAGACTTTTTCTATCGTTACCACAGCGTCGTATTACAAATTTCCCCTTCTAACAGTATGTTTTATATCATTTAGATACATTCAACCCATTCATATGCTTTGTGTCCTTTACAAATGAACTTTACGTTACAGTTTTACACGTAAGGATGTTCTAAAATTGTTTGTTTTGAAAAACTTAATAACTCGGTAAAGATTGATGTTTAAAATCAATGTAAATGTTTAATACAATTTTACAAAAAATGAATGTAAATGTTTGATACAATTTTAAAAAATTATCCCCTGTATGTGTGTTCATTTATTGTCGCGGTTGTAACGACACGCTGTATAAGCATGTATTAAACATAACTGTTAATAATTACTAACCTAAGTTTTAACATTTCTTATTGCATAATTCTTGCACGTGGTGTCGGCATCAATAATAGAAGGTTGGTATATTTGTTTGTTTTTTTTTTTTATGTTTCAATTGCATGTTTATAGCAACTATCAGTTAGCAGTATTCAACGTTTACTCACAAAAAACTCCATGAGTTTTTTTGTGATTTAACGTCAGGATGAGTTGAGAAATCTATGTTTGTAAGCTGAAATGATACTAATGTTTCAACAAGCTTCTTTCTTGGAGAAAATCTTTATCCTGCCTTTATGCCATTTTAGCGGTGTCGTAACAACATGCATATCATGTTGTCAATATTATTGGCTAACTTTTTTACGATCCGCCGTTCGCCTTACTTCCCACCCTTCTTGGGAACCGAATACTCGGGTGAGAAACAATTAACCGTGACTCGCACAATCAGTCGACCCGTGGCGGAATCGAACCCACGTCCCCGGAGCCGAGCGAAGCGGTTGCTTAGCAACTGCGCCACCGAATCACACAAACACTTCAACGTTTCAACAAACACATGGTACAATCCTCCAGCGCCGGCATGATAAAGACCCTGAGACTGATATACCAAGAGAACGGCGTGACGAAGGGCTTGTACCGCGGCATGAGCATCAACTACCTGCGCGCGATCCCCATGGTGGCCACCTCCTTCTCCACCTACGAGCTGATGAAGCAACTCCTCCATCTGGACACGGGCATGACGGTCGCCTAAACGGGCCCGCAACCAACCGGTCCTTGCGTTAACTCAGTCAATGCAACCGATCGGTTCAAGCTGACGCCGCGATCGATGAGCAACTTAAACGAGGCAATCTTACTCGCTGGAGTCCCTGCTAGATTTGACAAATGAGCTTTATATATGTACCCTCTGTACAGCAGTGTTGCCACCTGTTGGAAGAAAATACTCGTAAAGAAATTTTGACAAATGAGCTTTACACATGTAACCTCTGTACAGCAGTGTTACCAACTGTTCAAAAAATACTCCTAAAGCAATACAAAACCCACTAAAACTCACGGAATTCAAACCAAAACTTACTAAATGAGGAACATTTAGGAGTTTGAGTTTGTATTTGTTGAGTTTGTATTTACCTCCCGAATAACTTTCGTTGTAAATTTATTCGTCCAAAATTTGTGAAGAAAGTTCCTAAGTTGGCATCCGTTCCGAACAGAGGCTTCTGCTCAGCCGTGCGGCACATATAGGCTATTGCTTTAATTTTTCACAAGGTGCCCGTTTCAAAGCTAGATTCTAGGTGCTTTGTCGTGCGTAGTATCAGTTCATCTGTCAGTTAAGCGCACATCAAACCGCGCTATAAAATACTGCTCTCCGATTGTCTCAATTCGATTGTCGAATCGAGCAGAAAATATAGCAGATAATGCGCGCGTTCCATCATTGAATCATGATTTTTAAAAACAAGATGCATACTGAGAAATCCAGCGAGTAATTTTGCCTCGTGTGACCTCATACCCTAATGTATGAGAATAGCATGTATTTATTTATTTCAACTACTTACCCAAGGGTAAACTACATTGAAATTATCTGTCCTTGACACCGCAGATTAAGTGACAAGTGTGTTGTAACAAAAACCGTCTCTCTGTTAGTTATAATATAGCGAATATTAGGTTATACCAAAACGACGATACGTACGTGAGTCACTACTGCAACAGTATTTTAATAGTATTTTGTTTTATATCTGGAATAGTTAGTTTTATTGCAACAATAGATTTTCAATTCGTTTCTATTATATTGTTTCGCATTTTTTTTTAACCAAAACAGATAAGAAAATCACAATTAACTTTAATGATTCCAATATCGTTCTCTAGATTATAGTGTATTTACTGACCATTAATATGTTTAACTGATTAGATATTGCTTGGCAAAGGAGTGGGGGTAGTTTTAAATATATCAAATGTGAAGCGATGACAAACAATATTGAAATATATAGGAAATAGGTAAAGTTAAAATGAATAATGGCTACGGTTCAATTACGTAAGTTTTTGTGCATTCCTTAAAAGGATATCACTTTTTATGGATACCCAATAAGTATTAAAATACAGAACGTAACACGTTGTTTCTAGTTTTTTTATTATCGTCGACCAATGTCTCGTGACAGGTTTATTTAAAAAAATGTTATTTGATACTATTTATTAAATCGGTTTAATTAGACAATTTTTTGTGTGTATAGTCAAATTTATTTATAGTGTAGATAAGTTGGTGATGGTTGCTCTTTCATGCTTAACATTATGCCAAAGACAATAATGCAACAATTTCAAAGACATAATTTTATAATTCATTAATTTTTCCGTTGTAAAACAAGTAGTTTATGGAATGTTTAACATCTATTGTAACACGTTAGATGTTATTCAGAAACCGATAGCTATACTACACACGCTTCCGCGTAATTATATTTTTTATATATCATTTATTTGACGAATTTTCTTGATCTAATCTACACAGGTCCAAAAAAGGTCCTGCAGGGATTTATGATAATTAGCCAGGCATTATTGCATTCCCCGCCCCGACACTGTCTTTCGGAAATTAAAAGACGTAGAACGGTCACTTCATAAACATTAAAATGCATAATTTTTTATTCAGACAAAAGATACCTTTTATACCATTAAATTTTTTTCAGCCGTTAATTAATTTTTACCTTGAGGTTTCAGATCTTCTAGGAACATTGTTAAGCCTTATGTAAGTGAAGGGTGCTGTTTGTATGTAATAAAATTATTTTGGATTAAACAGATCTATTTTTATTTATTTCTTGTATTCTTAACTAGGTTATTATTATTAGGGAAACTTCCGCGCCTCACTCCAATTCCCATCATTAAATAGAAATAGAAAAATTGCACGTCTGACTGACTGTTGTAACAGTAAAGTATCCCACAATTGCCATTAAATTTCTTTGCTTATATAATTCCATTAAATTTATTACAGTATAAAACGAATCTTTAAAATTAACATATAATTAATATTAAAATACGTATATCAAGGAACAAGTAATAAAATGAGATTAAGATAACGTTCATATTTTAGTGTCTCCTCGTATTATTTTATTTAGGATATAATAAAAGAGGGGTTTTTTTATTATTAATTTTATTTAATATCTAATTCCTATCAACGGGCATAGTACAGAGTTGTAAGAATAATTTTTTTTAATTACTTTTCGGTTTTCTTGACATTTTATTATTGCCATTACTGTATAGGTATTTCAGTGATTTCAATATCAACATATAATTAATATAGTCGCAAATATCAACAGCTTGCAATTCTCTCCCATATACGTCACACAACACTCGTTCAATAAAAAAAAAAATCTGATGCTCGTTTGTATTTCATACTCCTTTGAATGTTGGATAACCTATGCAAATAACCAGGAAAGCCTTATTTTACAACAGGAGCTTCAGCTGAGTGAAATAATAGAAGCCAAAGCAAATATCCTCTTGCAGACCATTCTCTAAGTTCAATAGATTTATTTCACACATATGAAGCTCGCACATTCATACACTTTTTTTGTATAATTTTTTATTGTTTTACGTTTTACCTATAACTTATCTAATACTTAGATCGATAAGACGTGTGGCTTCAGATGTCATTGGTGGGAAAATTCTTTGTAAAGTACACACGCGTTTTTTATACATATCAATTGAAGTGCAAATCTGGAAATGTTTAGATCGTTCATGGGAATTCATAAGCCGGAGCTATCTTAAATAATACGATGGCACTGACAAAAGACAATCCACTGTCTCTGAAACCCCCAATAAGCGTGGCATAGTACTACTTCTGTCAGTTCCCTAAAAGAAAATATACCTTCATTATGCTAGGCGTAAGAAATATTATTAAATGTAGAATGTAAGTTGATAAGATGCAGTCGTTCGGGTTGTATTAAGGCTAAAACGATTTTAGCGATGAATGGAATCGCCGCATCTCACTTTATAATTAAGTAAGAAATTCTCCACATTTACACTATTAACCGGGTTTTATATAGAGATGTACGATTCAGGGTAAATAATCCGAACTTAATCCAACAATAACAAACTATTTAATGCTTTGAATATTTAGGTATTTACAAAATTACCTAAAACATAATAATAGTGAAATATTATAATTATTAAAAAAAAAACTATTTAAAGCTCCACTCTTGTGAAACACTTTATTCCATGTTAAACAGGTACTGTGGCACAAGAACAGGAGAATTTAGAAAAAGAAATACAAAACCAATGTCGAAATGCATTCTATGATTAAATAAACATTTCGTGGCAGAATGGCTGCAGTGATACTAAAAAAAATAAAAAATAATATAAATCCCTAATACTTTCCACTGACTAAGTCATGCGCTTAACCATAAAATATGTTATATAATATGCATATAATAAAACCATTCTGTCACAAAATTAAATGCTTACTATTGTTCGATACAAAGTAACGTACTGACGCTGTTGACGACGCGTCACCAGATACTTTGTGCATTCATTACAATTAATTCTAAATAGTCCGTGTGCATAAAAACAGAATCGCAAACTGGGAAAAATGAAAATTGAACAAGTAAATATTAAAACGTACAAAACTGACTTCAGCAATTTTGATCTACGGCTTATATGTGAAAATTACATTTATTTTAGACATTTAGTAAAATACAGTACAGTGGTTGTTAGGTCGTCGCGCTGGGTTCTGGTCACCAAAGATTCATTATGGTGGTATGTCCATTCTGTAGTGGCCCAATCAATGGTGACGGGTTGAAAGCGAAATAAAACCACCGTTTTAGCAAATGTACGCCGTTTAATGAGGTCTTAAGTGTCTTTGATACATAAGTTATACATAATATAGTGATAATTGTCGCACTGTTCGAACGCGCAATGAACATACCAGCATAAACCGAGCGTTGTTACTTGTGAACGGGCAAGAACCTGCGACTTGGACCATATTACGCGCCCCGCCGACCACCTCGCCTCGCCTACCACTTAATGTTTAGAGTCCAAACCCGGCCCGAAAAGCTATTTTCGAATTTATCGATAGGTACACGCACACATCTCATACAGTTTTCATCGTTAGTTTTCTCATTATAGCTACTAAAATTTGCCCCATCGCCCGACTGCACGAAGCACGAACACAGAACAGCCCACGACAAAAATCAACACCATTTACACAGAGCGAAACAAGTACGTAAAATAAATAGGACACATACGAATAGGGAAATAATTAAAGAGATCGTATGGCACCAATAGCGTACGTCGACGTTGTAAATTTTAAACGAATACAGCTTTCAGTTGAGCGTGTACCGTCAACATGAATTTATGCTACAAATTTTTGGGTGTATCCGTATTTCAAGCCCGTATTGTGGCTTCGTCATAAAAGATAAATATACCAGCAGGTGTACATGCGGAATTGAAGAGCGCAGCGAATTATTAATTACGCTACGCTTGGAGGGGAGGCGACACTGGGCTCATGCATATCGAAGCCGTTACTGCGTTAAGAGTGCGCGGACAGCGGAATGCCTTCCAGACTTAAAACGGCACATTATCAATGAGGCACAATATTCACACGAACGGAACGTCACACGGGCGAGGGGTTAGAAAATGTACCAGAAAGAGCAGCCGATCGGCGACTGTATGTAGGGGCAGACGACGAGGAGTGAATACGATTGATCGTTATTCGCGAGGCGAGGTGTCCGGACGGGCGGCGTCGCGTGGTCGTACAACACGTGGTCGGTGGCGGTGCGGGGCGGCGGCGGGGGCGGGGGCGGCGAGGGGGAGGGGGAGCCGCGCTTCAGAGCGCGATGCCGCCGCGCCCTCCGCGGCTCCCGCTGCTGCGAGGCGCGCGCTGCGTGCGAGCGGGACGGCCGCCGGGCCTCGCCCCGTCCCGCTCTCACCCTGCACTCGCTCGCCGCCTTCGAGCCGCCGCTGCTGTGGAACGGACAAATACACGTAATTACGTTTCCCGCGGCATAGCTGAACAAAAACCGCCATCACGCCGTAAGCAGAGATGGGTCGTACTTTCCACTGCTCATCGAGATGTCTTGCGCAAATATGAGACAAAGATCACTGCCTATGCCACGAATAATGGCTATCTAACGTCATCTCGACAATAGTGCCTTACGACGGGCTAGTATACATACATATATATATATATTTCTCTTATTAGGACATATATTTCTTAAAACTTTTGATCATTTGCTTAAAACCGTACTGTTTAAAAAAAAATTGATATCTTGTACGTGAATACTACACATTGTTACACTTCTGTTTTAATATCCGTGACCCGTAAAATTTAATACGACAAAATCATCATTTCTTGTATTAACGCCATTACATATTACTAAACGAAGCTATGTTTACGGATTTATCGCATTTATTTTTAATTTTAGTTCCCGACGTATCGAACCCTTTTTAGCGTTCATGGTCACGGGACAGACTGAGGCGTTGGACGACTCAATGTCATAGTTAACCCGGGCTACCATCAGTTTTTAAAATTATTCATTTTGTGTCCGATCTACGCACTCTAGGTACTGCACAATCTACTCAAGGTGCTAATTGCATCATGTCTTCATTATCACGAAACAGAAAAAAAAAAGCCAAAGGCAATCGTACTGATGTTCAGCTAGTACTATATGTATTAGTTTATAATACTATTGAGTAAAACACAAGATATACTTGTTACCCATTAGCGAAATGACTCATCGTTAAGTGACTACGTCGACTGACGTCAAATGTAAATTATGATATCGTTTAACAAAGGCAACTGATAGGAGATCTGCCGAACTCTATGTATTCATAAATACATAAAGTGAACAATTACAAAGTATTATGAGCTGATAACTATATAAAGTTGTATTAAGTTCAAGATCATCTACGTTATTATGCAAATAAAACATTTCAGCTACACAACTGATAAGGATGTCTTTTCAAACCTTTTAGAGGATAGATGTAAAACTTCACTCACTTCATTCTTCTCACTATTCCCAAACGCGCCAAAAGAAGTATAACTTCAAAAAAAGACTAAAGTCGGGGGAGGCATATTATGATCAGTCACCATTTATCCCAAACGCGCCAAAGTATAAAATCAAAAAAGATTGAAGTTAAGTTATTCTTACTTATAAACGCGAAAGTTTGGTAGGGATGTATGGATGTTTCTTACTTTTCCACGCAAAACACTACTGAATGGATTTCAATGACTTGTAATACATCAGAATGACAAGGGTATAGACCCTTGATAGCAAAGTAACTCTGTCTGTTACGCTTTTACGATTAAACCGCAGAACCAATTTTAATGAATATATATTTCAATTGTATCGACGAAGACGTAAAGTGCGTGCACTACTCACACTGGCGGGAAATTGTATCGACGATGACGTAAAGTGCGTGCACTACTCACACTGGCGGGAAATTGTATCGACGATGACGTAAAGTGGGTGCACTACTCACACTGGCGGGAAATTGTATCGACGATGACGTAAAGTGCGTGCACTACTCACACTGGCGGCGCGTTGGCGTGGTGTCGCGCAGCCTACATGAAGTAATCGGGCGTCCGCCGCGTCACGTGCGGCTCGCCGCGCCTCGGGGCCGGGTCGAACTGCAGGCTGCGAATGGGAACAGAGGGCGCGTGTTAATATACCGTCTAGGCGATGCCGCGCGACCCAAATTGACACCAATTGCTAGGGTCATAAGTTTCAATATCCATTGGTCGGGAGGGGGACAAGTCCGCCACTCTGTTTGGGATTCGATTTGTCACAATCGATCCGTTGCGTCATCACTTTGCGCTGATAATCATTCCGTCGACGCGAACAAAAGCAAACCGCGTTGTATTCGCACAGTTATAAACTTAAAGGAAATAATCGAATTTAATTGAAGATTATATGGAGAACTAAACTCATACTTACAATGAGTACTTCAGCGCATCATCCAATTCCATAATGGCGGCTTGGTTACCACATCTGAAACAGGAAATTATTTCAATTGACATTCATACTAAATCATAATCATCGTCAACAAAATTATGATAATAATAACGAAATACGTTAATAGAAACTTAGCCACATTACATTTTATTTAAAACTTCTAATCTGTAATACATATTCCAAACCATAACACATTAAGGACTTTTTAAAGAACAAAGTACCAAATAACATAATACCAAGTAACAAAGAAAATATCTAGTCCATTACCTATTGAGACTACAATGTAAGTGTGTACATAACATTTGAATATTGTGTGATATAATTGTACTAAACGATTAATAGACATTTCACAATAAAAATACAATACATTGTAATTATTTTCAACATATAGGTACGTAAAGGTTTAATAAGAAAAGACAACCTTTTTTGTTTTGCAACTTATGTTTTACTTTATGCCTATTTCCCCTAATGAATATAGCTTTTCAATGCTTACTAAAATTGACATTAAGTATCTAGAAACTAATAACACAAAATATTTATTCGCAATAATTTTACATCTTTTTACAATATAAACTAAATCCATTAATCTGGTACCAATCTAAGAGAGTATTTAAATACTTTTAGCACTGAAAAGCGAAGAGTTAAATTAAAACGAAATGTGGAGTAGGTTAAACAAAACGATGGAAATTAGTCGATAAACTTGGAACTTTTCGGAACATTTATTTATAGGCTCAATTCGTAGAATTTCGGACTTCCCTTACATGCGGTCGAAGAAGCAGACGCACGACTCCTTAAATTATTTGGAAGGCGTTTCAGAACATTTTTGAAGAATTGTATTGTCTGAAAATATCTACTAATTTGTATGATTTCGAATAATTTAAACTTTGAACTCGCAAACAACATGCGGGCGATTTGAATTCAAAATTAAAACTAAGAAGTAACTTCTTTTAACAATTTGATACATAGTCAAAATAATTATGTCAATCACTTTCAATGGAATTCTAGTCGCGTGATACACAAAACGCCTTTAACAATGAACTATTCACGAAATACTTGTTTGTAAAAAATACCTTATTTTATTTAAGAGAACAAAACCATTTACATGCAACGGGTCACCGATTGATAGCTAAGCATTTATAAAGAATTAAGGTATTAAAAACGAAAGGAAAACCGTCAAGCTTTTACAGTCGTAAAATTTATAATATTTAAACAATGAAATAATAATTTCAACTTGTTGGCGCTTCAAACACATTGATCTTTCGCAACAGATACAGTATTTCGTTTCATTATGGACATTATGCTTTTCTTGTTAGACCGTTCATTGTTCGGCATGGTATTGGCATTTGACCTCGAGACAGATAGAAATATAACATGTATTGGGGATCTGAGCGGGTTGGTGCAAGATATCCGAGCTGTTTGGTACCCAGTGTGCGTTGGAGTTACATAATTTGATTCCTCCTGCTCCTTTCCATCATCGGACAACTAGGCGTTCGGCGAGACTCCACCCTTATGCTGTCGACGTTCCCAAAACAAGAACAAAGCGATTCGCCTCATCATTCATCATCCGTACAGCTAAGGAATGGAACAACCTGCCGGCGTCCGTCTTTCCGTCCGATTACAACGTAGGCGTCTTCAAGGCAAGAGTGAATAGGTTTTTACTGAGCTAGCGCGCTTACCATCAAAGGCTGCATCGCCACTTACCATCAGGTGGGATGGCAGTCAAGTGCTGGCCAGTTCTAAATAAATTAAAAAAAAACCCACCTGTAGCAGTAGTTGGGCGCGGAGAATATGGTGACCACGTTCCGGTCGTGGCACCAGTTGTAGCCCTCCATGACGAGCTGGTGGGCGCGCGAGACCAGAGTCAGGCCGTTGCTGTGGTTGAACGTCTCCGATATGTCCTGGCCGAAGGTGTAGCCGGCGCCGCGCGGCGATATGCCCCATCCGCCTCTGTGCGGAGGAAAAACGTCACAATATAATAAATAGGCATGCGCACATATCGATATTAAACTGTACTAAACGATGTAACTTACTATATGTTTACCCGACTACGCCAGAAGTGGGGTAATGTTTCTCGAGAGTATGTATGTATGTGTAATTGTTTGGCACGCTTTTCAGCCTGAACGGCTTGATGGATTTTAGCTTGAGAGCTGTAGTCAAATTCGTATTTATTGTGAGTGAAAGTGGGTATATCAAAATAAAAAATTATACAGAAAGGCAGTCGGGATTTTTTAATTTTTTAAATTATATTCCACTTGTCTACTTAAATTTTGTTTCATGTGAGGCGATGGCAAGCGAGCTGACGGTTCAACTGAAGTTTAGTGATAAATGTCGCCCATGGACATTTGCAACAACCGTATTGTTGCAGATACGTTGCCACCTTATAATCAAATGGGCCCCCACGGTTACCTCACTCACCAGACGAAACGCAGATTGATGATACTTCCACTATACGCCGGTATTCTGTGAGGTCGTGGAACTTTCCCGGACGGACCTGCCCATTCGTGCAACAGTGAACACTGTTGCGTGGCCCTACCACAGTTATTATCCAATTTAAGGCTGCTATTAGTCATATTTAGTCCTAAACAACGTTTTAAAACTCAGACATGTCTGTCTAAACATGAATAGACCGAGTACCGATACTCTACTGTAAGGTTGTGTTTTATGATATTATAATATTATGTTGCCAACATAATATTCTTTACTAGCAATTACGTAATGCATAACTTAGCTGCAGACGATAATGAAAGCGGCCTGTCTTTCTATTTCGCTAAAGACAAGAACGTACTTTACGAAGCCTTGGGTACTGTTTTCGTCTGTATAGCGAAGAGGAATACTAGAAACAAGGGTTCGGCAGCTGTTGTATGTCGACCTAATGCAGCTCTCACATTGAACAAAGACCTGCTTTAAAGCGAGGCCGTTAACTAGCACAGGCGCCTAAGCGTAAAACGAATGTAATTTATTTGTAAGCATGTAAAAGAGGGTGACTTTTTTTTAAATTAAAGTTAAATGGGTTTACGAGCAACCTGATCTCACCCTTTATTTGATCACCCTTTATTAATATTATAAAATTCTATAAACAAATACACTGGTGTATTACATAGTTTATATTAAATACACAGTTTCGTGTTTTTATGGCTTCATTATACTCCCCAGGGCCATCGCCGGCCCATCGGCCGGCGCTGGGTACTGACCTTAAGGGTAAAGACGGTCATGGTTTGTGGCTGAAACCCCTCGAATATAATTATGTCACCACGGATAGCAAGACCACGCACCACCACAGTCGCAACCAGTAGCAATCTGTTTTGGCAGTCTGAACACTTTCATTTTTTTACCTCGTACGAAGTTATGAAAGATGCTAATTACATTTATCTTAAACTTTGAAAGCATCTGTTACGTTTGGCAACAAATAGTGTTACATTTGCGAATAAAATAATTCTTGTGTCAAGTGTCTGTTGCATTTTCGATAGGTTTTCTAAATTAATATCATCATCATGCAAATTTTTAATGTAAGCTAGCAAGACATTGATACAATTTGTTTCATTAATCAATTCTAGCCGGGCACCTACTTCTTATCAATCAACCAAAAAAACAATGAATCGGATTTTTTTTCATTCCACTTCGAAAGTGATATTTGTCACGATAGGAATAAATTTCGCCGCACGCTTTTGTTACAATATGCGGAACACAGAAAATACACGAAATCTTAATAAAATCGTAGACGTTAATATTTAAGAATACGTATTCATTAATATTACACTGTTCGCGTATAGAGATTTCAAGACAAGGAAGTTGCATAATGAAGGTCATTTCAATGTTTAATATCGCCGCTATTTCAAATGTCCGAATAAGAATTGTACGACTACATCGTTTAAACAAAGTGGAATAATATTTCATCTGACAACTATCTGATTAAAACTTCAAATTGAATTTGAAAATGAAAAAATATCCACAGATTTGTTGGATAAGCCTTGCAGCGAAGTTAAAATTTGATGTAAAACGTAAAGTAACAGCCTATAATTTTCCCAACGCTGGGCAAAGGCCTCCACTATACAGAAGTTATTAGGGAGAGGTTATAGTGTAATAGTCCATCACGAAACCCCAATGAGGATTCGCGTACTTAACATATTTTCGAATATACATTCATTTGATGTAGTTTATGTATATACATGAACTATACCATACATTAGTTTGAAATAAGCAAAAATTTCGTTTTATCATAAAATTATTAATGTTAAATTAGACACAAAAATAGTAGAAATATAAATTGTTTATAGTGCTAATCTATGCACTTAAGATTGAACGTTTGTATGCTGGAAAGGATATAACAATAGATATGCCAAGCATTGCTAAAAAATAATGTAGATAGACGTTAAGACGGTGTGACAATCAGCCGTTTAGCTTAGTGGTTAAAGCGTCAGGCCGCGAATGCCGAAGACGTGGGTTGGATTCCCACAGCGGCGACAATCTTTTCGTACTTTTTCTACATATTTTAACAAAAATATTACTTTTTGACAAGTATCGATCACACTTAACTGTGAATTAGCGGAATTCATATATCTTCGAATATGTAATATATTCATTTGAAGTATATGTTATACATGTACTTTACTATACTGTAAAGAAAGGTTGGAAAAAACCAAAAAAATATTTTACAACTCTACTCTTCAGACCAAAACTTGTCTTCATAGTTATGACATCAGATACGAAAATTTAACTGAAACTTTAAATAAATATAAAAACGTCTAGATTAAATTCAGACATATTAAACATAGAACTAAATGCAGTCGGAAACGTATAGGGGGCAAGGGACTCGAAACGTGTCAAGGACTGCAGCAGATGCGGTTCCAACTCAAGGATCGCCCGCAAACGCCGCTTTGCCTTCACGGACCAAAAGAACAGAGAAGTTTCACGCTTCGTCTTATATTGCATAAGGACGATTTTTCTTTAAATTGCGACTGCACCATAATTACGGATAAATTGCAATGTATAAATTTCTTTGTCTTAAAAATAATGATTGAAACTAATTAAAAATAATACTCGAGAATCTGCCAATTATATTTGTTATAAAACTAATGCATCACATCAAGGAATTTCTTGGGTCTCTTATTAACCCTTTTTACGAAAATTGCGCGGACGAGGTAGTACGAAATTTTCTAGACTTTTAGTTTATATAGAGAAGGAGTGCAGAATGGCAATTTTTTTTTAAGTTATGCATATAACATACATTAAATAAAAAAAAATCATTACACACACTATCATGTAGACCACTAATTATAATAATTTTATCAAAATGGAGACTACTTAGAATAGGAGATCATAGATGTTTGTTACATTCGATAGTAAATTATAATACTGGAAAACAAATGGGCATCATATTTCATTTAGACGACAAAGATTTTGTCTTTGAGGAAAGGTCACAGTGAAGATTGCCCAGGGGGACGCAGCACCTAACTATGACGTTATTTTGACAATTTATTCAGATTTGACGACCCAATTAGCGTAGTGGATAGGGACCCTGTCGCTTGCGTCAGTAGGTGTGGATTCGATCCCCACTACTGGAGAAATATTGTGTGATGAACATAGTGTTTTTCTAATGTCTTAATGTCTGAGTGTTTATATACCTATCTATAATATGTTTTTATTCACAAAACATAAGTACTTTTAAGAATGTTTATCAGTACGTTAGTATATAAGTAGTACCCATAGTAAAAGCTTTCGTAGTAAGTAGCATTTCACCGAAGTCAGCGCGAGTGTGATAATCGAGAGAAGTCACACAAAGCTCTCTCTCACACATACACACACACACACACACACGCACGCACGCAAAACTCACCTGTCGTCGGGATCGCTCCACAGGAGGTCGCACATGGGCCCCTCGTGGGGCACCTCCTGCACGCGGTCCAGGGCCCTGATGTGGTCGAGCGTGTCGATCGAGGGGCTGAGGCCGCCGTGCAGGCAGAATATCTGGCCGTCCACGAGCGCCGTGAGCGGCAGGAAGTCGAACAGGTCCGTGAAGTGCTTCCAAACGGACGCGTTGCCGTACTTGCGCAGGCACTCGTCGTAGAATCCGTACACCTGGGTGATCTGACGCGACTCGTGGTTGCCGCGCAGGATGGTTATTCTCTCGCGGTACCTGACCTGTAAGGCGGGGGCGGGGTTTTAGTGTCGGATCGGGGGCCTAACGCCACTTCCCACCATCGATCCTTAGCTTTGGGGGACCCGCTAAAAAGTTGAAATGCTAGTTTCGTTTTTACCACCGCTTACTGGTCACCATTAGGTGTGCGGAGCCCTTCGGAGATCTAGACTTTAGTCTTAAGCGATACCTCCAGTTTGGTGAAAATGAATTTTGATGACGTACTGATTTAAAAAATACCTTAGGTTAAGGCACCCTTAGTAAGGGAGCGTTTGAGGGTACAATGGTGGAAACGGACACAAGGGATTTAGACGAAAAGAGTTCCTTCTTATATATTATCTGTATCCCACTTAATTCTCCTGAGGTTATTACAAATGCTTCATATAATTCGCAAATTCGGCGACTATTTTTAATAATATGTCACACTTGAAACCTTCGCTAACAACAAATAGGTGCCACGTATAATCCTATTTGGACGTGTAGTGTCATATCGATTGTTTATTTATACAATAACGTTTATTATAAAGATTATATATATTGATAAAGCGGATATCTAAATCTACAATTAGATATAAGCCTTGCAAATATAGTCATATTTTTGCTATGACCATTGTTTACGTACTTACGTACATTACGTAATTAGTAAATAAATTATACAAACTTTGCAATGGCTATGTCCTAAGCTAAACGATTTTTTTAAAGATTTAAAGATAAAATAACAAATGCCTATATGTGCACTCATGTTAACGGGATTCGAGTAAGTTCTTCTGTATTGGTAAGTAATAAATATGTTGCGAGTCAGTCCGTTTGTGCAATAGCATAAGATGTTGCGTGGCCCTACCACAGTATACAGAAAATATGTATAATAACCAATTCAAACATAATGTACTGGTAGTTTATTATCTATCTTCTGCGTAATACCCTTCATATTTTTTTCTTGTCATGAAAGCACTCAATGGCGCGTCGTATTATTAGATTTTATTATTTTTATTTGCAATTCTTCTTCGTTTCGTTGTGAGTAATTGAAATAGTTTTATCGGCGGGTATAGTATTCCGGCGTATACGCCGTACACAAAAGTATAATAAGAGAATAATAAACAAGATGCAACAGACGGGGTTTCAAACACTTATCGAGTGTTTCAAACATATGTTTGCGATAAACATTACCTCACGTATCGCAGATGCTAAGTGTGAAGAGTAATAACGATATTGGTCACCAAGCACATCTTATATATTGGCGAATGTCTATAAATTATTATTTCTCAAAGGTGTTGTTTCCCTCAAATCTTTCATAATTCTTGATCAAAATCAAAAAATCAAAATCAAAATATATTTATTCAAATAGACGCTTGCGCGCTCTTATGAATCGTCAAATTTTACATCAAAGATTATGTGTATAGGTTCGTAAGGTACCACCGGTTCGGAAAGCGGTTTCTGTTGAGAAGAGACCGGCAAGAAACTCAACAGTTGCTCTTTTTCAAAAATATCAGGGTACAATATAATATACAGGTATAATAGTCTTATTCTAGCCTACGTGAGTATCAACAGTATTAACTCCACACATTGGCGTCGTCGAGATATTCCGAAATGGTATAATATGCTTTAATCATCAGTTGATTTTTAATTTTACATTTAAATTGGTCAAAGCAGCAGACTTAATATCGACTGTGGGATTTTATTATACATGCGTACACTTTGCCCCATGAACGACTTATTTACTTTTTGTAGACGAAACAATGGCGTAGTAAGTTTGTCCTTATTTCTAGTGTTTATTTTATGTCTGTCACTATTCTTTAGGTAATAATTAAGGTTATGACGTATATACAAAACATTACAATAAATGTATTGAGAAGCAACAGTGAGTATATTAACCTCTTTGAAAAGATCTCTGAGTGAATTCCGGGCTCCGATATTGTAGATTGCTCGGACAGCTCTTTTTTGAAGCTTAATTATAGTATTTATATCTGATGCACTACCCCACAACAAAATGCCGTACGACAAGATGCTGTGAAAATAACTAAAGTAAACAAGTCTGGCAGTGTCGATGTCTGTTAGCTGCCTAACCCTTCTAATCGCAAAAACCGCGGAGCTCAGCCTATTCGCAAGAGATGATATATGGGGACTCCACTGGAGCTTTGAATCTACTGTAATTCCCAGAAATACAGCAGACTCAACTGGATTAATGGGTACGTTATTTAATATTAAACTAAAACTTTTCCTTCTTATACTGGGAAGGGTAAAAAGAATACATCTGGTTTTTTTGGCATTTAATACCATATTATTAATAGTAAACCAGTGGAGGATATGTGAAAGCGCACTATTCACGTCGTCATAATTTAATACGTTTCGGTCAACTTTAAAAATAAGCGATGTATCGTCAGCAAACAGTACAAACATCACACAACCCACTGGCATAAAAGGGGAGATCATTAATATATACTAAAAATAATAATGGGCCCAAGATTGATCCTTGTGGGACTCCCATTTTCATCTGGGACCCAGTGGAATTAACATCATTTATAGATACTTTTTGAATTCTATTACTAAGGTAAGAGGCAATGAGATTGAGGGCGATCCCACGAATGTCATAATATTCTAGCTTTTGAAGAATAGTTTTATGGTCTACGCAGTCGAAGGCTTTTGAAAGGTCACAAAAGACACCTATTGCATCTTGTGACCTTTCCCAGGCGTTATAAATATGTTTGACAAGTGCGACGCCCGCATCTGTTGTCGATCTGCCTTTATCGTTTATCGTCATTTTAAAGCTAACGTTTGCCACTATTGACGGAAAACACAAATAGAATAAATTTAACATTATTATTATAAACAAACCTTCGTTTAAAAACTACTCATATATAATGTATGAAAATGCTATTATTTGCCAATTTGTTTAAATGAACGATAGCAGCGAATAAAACTGGATTTTACCGTTACTCTTAAAAACAAAAAATACACAATAGTACATAACATTAACATTCGGTGCCTGATCACTATACAAAATTTCACACGGTTCTACTAGTATATCTATAAAACCAAAACTGCGATTACAATGTGTTCAAAAGTTATCTGTTAACCGTATGATTCTATTAAATAAGAAGCAAGGACGTCGAAGGACATCCGGCTTGTTTGACATTTCATTATCTGATAACAATCGGGAGGTCCTACCGCATTACAAAGCGATAGAACGTTTCAACATTATGTGTTGTTAATTTGAAAGGAAGCCAAACGACTATGTAAGGTCATCTTTCAACGTTTATTATTGATTATTTTAACAAATTAAAAAAACATATATCCACATAAGTCTGACGCTCGACAGTCGAATTTCGACCTTAATTAATTATATATTTCGATGACTCCCTGGCGCAGTTGCCAAGGTATTGGCTTCGACGTCGGGGGTCGTGGGTTCGATTCCCACACGGGACAACTATTTGTGCGACCCACAGATAGTTGTTTCGCATCTGGGTGTTTGTCCACGTGAAATTTATGTTTGTAAAACGTCCTTACAACACAGGTTAGTGTTATCCTAAAGTAGGGGCAGTGTTTTTTAAAAAAAAATAGAAAAAAAAAATAATTTTTTCGTCGTTACTAATCGATATCAACTGTAACATGTTTTGTTCATAGGCAGTACGATAGAAACATAAATGTTTTATTTAATTTAAAGTACATTTATGCGACTCATTTCTTACGTTCATTATTTATTTTGATATCTACAGCTTCTTTTCAACTTTTCCCATACCAAATCCTCTTTACGCACAGTATGAAAAAAACAGAGGTACTACTTTTTTTAACGTTTTATTTACGAGATGAAGATAATGTGAATAACTTTTTGTTTTGTAAAAAGCGTACAAACTATTTATAGATATGAATCATAATGATTCAAATGATAGTTCATTATGATTCATAACTAAAAATATGAATATTGGTTACTTTTTATCGTTTAATTCGCGTCTTTTGTTGGTAACTGAAATTTTTGCGGACTCAATGACGTAACGTAAAGTTAATTACCCATAATAATCCATAGGTTTTCTTAAAAAACTGGCCTTTCTTATGTGAGAAAGTGGCAAAAGGGCTACAGCGGTACACCCGACGCAAAGTGATAACCGCCGCCCATTGACTTTCTTCCCGTGGAGGATTTCTTCCCTGTTACAATGTTTTTGAAAGTTATCTTTGCACCGTCGATTAAACGTTAATTAAATTTTCCAGGTATTACGGCAAAACAATATTTATCTACTAGCTATCAGCAAAAAAAATTTGGTTTGTTATTTGGAAACTTTGAAAAGAGACACAGGAGATGTCTGGCGGCGTACAGAACTGGGATCCGAAATCGTAAATCGATAACATTCAAGCTACTTATGTAAATTCGAATGACAAGATGACGGGACAACTAGACGAGTCACGTGTCCATCAAATACAACCCCGCAAAGACCTTATTATTTCCAAATTTCAAGCCTTGAATGCAATGTAAAATTGTTGATTTGGCGTGTTATTGGCTTTTGTATCGCTTGTAATAATTTATGTAATAATAAACTCGCGATATCTTTAATCCTTATTGTGGCCTCGTTGAGACACGTAAATGTCAAAAGGTTTATGACCCCTTGTGCAAGGTGATTTATGTCTTTCATGAATTCACCACATGTGTTAAATGACGTCGCGTCTTTTCAGTATGTGACGTAAGCAGGAAATAACTCTAGACACTTCGTTTACGCTGTTACATCTATAATCGTATTATAGACACAGAACTTCTGGTGCTGCGTGATTGCACCTGCTCGAACAAGCAACTACCGGCTCGATATTGAACACAAGCGTGAACTGGAAATATTCATACTTCAAGCATTTCGTAAAAAATGAAAGTAACAGCATATTGTCTTACTGCTGGGCAAAGGCCTCTTCTGAACTATTAGAGCAAAGTCCACCACCTCGCGACCCTACTGCGGATTGGCGAAGTTCAATTATTTTCCCCAAAGAGTAAAACGGGACTCTATTACTAAGACTCCGCTGTCTGTCA